CCCATCCAGGGGAGGGCACTCTTTCAACAGAAGAAATCTGGAAAGAGGCAGGGTCATCAGGGAGCAAGAGAGGGACTTTACAGAAGCTGATTTTATCTTTCCCCTGTCGATGTCTTGGGTTACATGAGCCTCCCAGAAGTGGTGACTTTTCTTAAGAAAGGTAACGTCTGGGCCAATCGATGCAGCTGGATCTGCTGGGTGAGATCCTGTTACCTGCCGAGACTGAGACAGGCTTCTTTGCAGGGCATGGAGCCATGGGAGGGAAGACGGAGGGGGGCTGGGGACCTGCCATGCCTGGCAATGTTGGAGGGAATGTTCCAGGCCCAGGACAGAAGACAGCTGTGGCGGGGCTAGGCAGACTGGGCTGTGGGCTTTCCTTGACCTTCACCCAAGTCAGAACAGGTCGGCTTGGGCACAAGGTGAATGCCCTGGGAATACAGACTTGAGACTCATGGTCAATAAATACTCAGCATTTTTGAAGTGGTCATTGCCATTGGAAACAGGCAAGCCTGTGGATTGGAGCCAGGTCTGGGAAGGAAGGCAGCCGGTGACCTTCCGTGCTACTGGGTTGTCAGGTAAATGTTTCACGACAATTGGGAGTGAGTAGCAGAAGGGAGGATTTAAATTACATGAGCGTTTCTTAAGCGTGTTCAGTCTGTAACCCACCTGTGACCTTGCTGGTACAAACAGCCCTTTCAGCCACAGGAGCCACCTGCTTGTAGAGTCCCCGCCCTCGTGCGCTCTCTCCCTCTCTCCTGTTGTCTTCTCTCCAACTCTCCCTCTCCCTTTCTTCCTCTCTTGCTCTTTCTGTCTGTCTGTCTGTCTCTGTCTCTCTGTCTCTTTCTCTCGGACAGGCAGACCGACACACATACCCTTAAGCTGTCCTTCCTCTCCCACAATGTAACTACCACCCTACTTCTTACAACCAAAGGGACAGTTGGCCAAAGTGCCTGACTGAGAAAACAGACATCTCGACACCTAAAGGCACCCTCTCCCTGCTGCTCTTTGACCTCGTCTTCCTGAGAGTCACACTTGCTGGGGTCACTCAGCCAGTGACAATCACTTAGCACAGGGTCTTGCCCATGGTGGGGGCCTAACAAACATGCTGATTCTAGTACAGACTGCAACCCCCCACCTCATCCCTAGATCAAAGGCCTGGTTCCTGAGAAGCTTTTGGGCAGAGACGATCCAAGCCAAGGATGTTCAGTTTGCACCCGCTGGAGATGAAAGAGAGGGGAGATCAGGAGATGCAATGTCTGGCTTTGACCTTAACCCAAGGAACTGGGGAAGAAAGGCCCACTGGGAAGCATGAAGGAGCAGGACAGAGCTTTCTGGATGAAAAAAAATGTTCTGTATCTTGATAGGTGTGTGGATTACCTGGATGTTTGCATTTGTGCAAACATTTCAAACTATACACTTAGAGTCTGTGCATCTCATCCTATGTAAACTAAAAATTATATCTTTATTAAAAATGTCTTAGAAATTCAAAGACCTCCTCTTCTTCACCCACTGATGTTGCTATTCACTCTGGGAAGGATGGAGGATGGGGTTACTGCGTGTATGGTGCGCAGGCAGCCTTGGCCTAGGGGAGCCCCTGAGCTCTGTCCTCCCAGGGGAGCTTCAGCAGGTGCATGGCACAGCCCAGCACCAACATCTGCCCTCAGCAGTCTTTCACATCACCAGGAGGCTTAAGGTTACAGAGAAGGACACTTTGGCCTGCAGAGCACTTTGGACTTTTATAACATCTTTTATTGCCTCATTTTATCCTCATGCCACACTATGAGAAAATACTGCGCTCCCTCTTTAAAAATGAGCATGTCCTGTTTCATATACACAGATATAGTCCTCATTATTAAGATCTTCATTATTTGTGGTCCGTGTATTTGCAAATTTGGCTCATCACTCACATTTATTTGTGACCCCCAATCAGTCCTCACAGCACATTCGTGGTCACTCATGGATATGCACAGAGCTGAGGCTGGACAGGGCAGTACTCTGTCTTCCTCTTTCAGCAATTGCACTATGAACAAGTGTCCTTTTCGAGGTATATTTAGTGCCACATTATTCGCATTTTGTGCTTTTTGTTGGTGATTTTGCTGTTTTTTTTTTTTTTTTCCTTTTTTTGTCTTTTTTCATGACCGGTAACGGGATCGCAACCCTCGGTGTCGCGCCCGCACCACGCTCAACCAGTGAGCAGACCGGTCTATATGGGATCCGAACCCTCGGCGGGAGCGCCGCCACGCTCTCAAGCATCACACTCTACCAAGGGTGCGACCGGGCCGGCCCGGTGATTTTGCTGTTTAAAATGGCCCCCAAGTGTAGTGCTGCAGTGCTGCCCAGTGCTCCTGAGCTCAAGAAGGTTGTGATGTGCCTAAGGAGAGAGTATGTGTGTTAGACAAGCTTCATTCAGGCACGAGTTATAGTGCTGTTGGTTGTGAGCTCAATGTTAATGAATCAATGACAGATATTAAGTAAGGTGCCTATAAACAGAAACACACGTAAAAGAAGGTTCTGTGTTGAGTTACTGATGAGAATGTGTGGCCAGAGGCTCCCAGGGAAACTAACCCTTTCTTTCTCCTAGGAACTCTGATTCGGTGTTCACTAATTCAGTGTTCCTGGTGACTTCACAGGACATAATTACTGTGTATCATGAGAATCAACTGCACTTGCCAAAGCCCCACAAGTTTGCAAAGAATGAGAACTAGGTTCCACTGATTTCCACTAAGTAACCCTTCCAAAGTTCCCCACTGCAGCTCCTTGGGCAAGGAGGGGCCACCTTGCACAGCCCCCGCTCCAGGAGGGGCTGGTGCTGACACGGACACACATGAATAAGACTGCAAGTTTCACAATGAACCAGGCTAAAGGAGGGGAGGGAATCCAGCAGGAGCACCCACCAGTTAGGCAAAGGCAGTTTCAGGCTGGGATACCCCCAGGAAGAGGAGCATACAATTAAAGTAGAACCTCTGGAAAATCACCAGATCCACAAGAGGCAGGGCATCGCTGAGCTCTCAGTCCTTCCCCACCCTTGCTGTGATTCCTGCCCCACCCCACCCGACATTCCGCAGAGCTCCACGGTCCCCAGTGAACATTCACCCACACAATAGCATGTGATTCTCCAACGATTCAGTGAGTCGGGCAAGACGGGCATCACCACCTCCAACTCACAGATGAAGAGCCTGGAATGCTGGGGGGATGTGGAATTTGGAGTTGGCAACAGATGCCCAAAGTTCACGTCCGTGACTGTTTTCTTTCTGCCATGCTGGGAGTGGAGCTGCTGACTTCTGAGCAGGCTGAGCGCCTCCTTCATGAACTGCCCTGACTTCATCTTGGCCTCCGTCCATCCATTTTTTGCCACTTGACAGAAGGTAGATATTATGTTACAGAAGGGGAAACTGAGGCCACATTGGGCATAGTGTCTGGTGCCGCCTCCTCTCATTCCTGCTTAAGTCGGCCTGGGGATGGGAGGTGGGGTACTCGCAGCCCCTTTGTCGCCTTCTCAGAGCTCAGAGAATCTCCTGCTCCCAGGGCTCAGTGACGTGTAGGGTTAGAACAGGACTGCAGGCAGAGGTCAAAGCTGACGTGGAAACCTGCACCGAGTGTCAGGGAGGGGCCTGCTCTTCTGATTGCCCTTGAGTGATGCCAGGTGTGAATCCCATGCCAGGAGCAGCTGAGCCGTCCTCGGCCAAGCAGAAAAGCAGGTGGCCTCTAGGTCTCCAAGTAAGGAGCGCTATCCCTTTCTGAAAACTATTAGATAGTTTCCACAAAGAAAACTATCCCCCTCTGCTTTGCAAAGTATCATCTGAGGAGCCCTTCTGCAATCCAAGGCAATGTCTCCCATCCTCTTTTCTGGGGGTGCCTCGTGGGCCCCACTGCTCTCTGTTGCAATGTAACCTTCGTGTTCACTTGAGGGTACAGTTTCTGATCTGTCTCTGAGTCACGTACATTTCACTGTAGCTCAGTGCCTCTTGATTTTTTGTCCCACTATAGTAGACCTGAAGGATTTTAGACCTTCCCTTCAGGAACTCAAGGACCCATTATGCCTAAGACTGTCACCCAGAGATGGGGAAGGTGCCTGTTCCCTTAGAGAGGATGATTGGAATTTAAGAGGGTATTTCTAACTTTCAGAGGCACTTTTTGGGAGAGGGGGAGCCAAGATCCTGCCCCCTTTTTTTTATAGCTGAAAAATTACTGGGAAGTATCATCGGTCACATGCAATTCAGGCTCTTAGCAGGAAGACTGAAGTCCTTCTCCTTAATTTATAAGGCTTGTGTCCAACTCACAGTGTCAAGTTCCAGGTGTTGACTAGAAACAACAACAGCTGGACTGGGACCAAATTCCATTAGAGTGGGGTCCCACTTCTAGAGAACGGAATGGAGCCAGCACAGAGGGAGATACATGGGGAGAGTGCCCAAGAGGCCTAAGTGTCCCAGGCCCAGGTGGTGACAGCCAGCTGATGGTGTCATGCTGGCAGAGGGAGGGTCCTCAGGTGCTACACACCTGAACTGCTGACCCAAGTACCAGAAAATTCTACAGAGATATCGAAGGGTATGTTGAGTGGATGCTGAATCACTAAATGGACAGCACATATCTCACACACAACGTAGTATCCCATGTAAACCTTGAGAAAAAGGTCCGCTGCCCTTTTCCTGGTGTTCAGTCCTGGAAAGTCAGACTACTGCCAAGTCACCGTCAGGGAAGCCCAGGACTCCCTCTACCTCCGGCCCTCCAGTGTGTGATTATCCCACACATTCATATCCTGACCTGCCATCATCCCCATGCTGCCATTTCCATATATTTCCTAGGGGAATTGGGCAATTTAAAGTCAAGTCACAAAGAAAAAAGGAAGGAAGATAAAATTTGCAAAGTATGCAATGAAGGAAGAGTATGAAAAGACAGGGAGAGCAGACAGAGTAAAGGGAAGGAGAGTGACGGCAGAGAGGAGGAGGAGGAGGAGCACTGGGAGCAAGTGGGAGGCGGGAGGAGCTGCGCGCAGCACTCACGTGTTGTGGAGCACACACCAGCCGCAGTGGGGATCGCCCGAGCCCAGGCACTCGCTGCAGCTCCGATACTGCCCACAGGACTCCACAGGGACTCTGGTGAGCTAGGACAGCACGACAGGGAGAAAGCAATCAAGATTTTGCAGAACACCCAGTAGCCCACCAGAAGAGACGCTATTCTAAATATCACATGAATCACCTAAAACAGTGTCGGAGCACGAAGGTGCACAGGGCCCCTGAACTGATAGGGACCCTGAGTGATCGTATTTGAACAGGTGGCCACATAAGCATTCAGCAGAGACAACTGCCTATTATCTCCTTAGAGGTCTCCAGGAGCACAGACTCCATAGAGTTTATATTACATTGTTTTAAAATATATTTATATAGTGCACATTTAAGTTTTCCCACCACTAAAACCCAAAACTATATCTAGAGAGAATATCTAATTCGTGACGTTCATTTCCTATCAATGAAATAAATGCAAATGTTCATTCATTTCCATCTTTGTTTCTCTTTTGCCAGAGCGTTTCACCTTCGTCACGTCCTCCTCCTTCAGGATTCATCATCTTTGCTGTTCCAGAGAGTATTTAACCCAAGACCAAGACCTTTTCTCTCTCTGTCTCCTTGCCTTTTAGCGATATGTCACAAACTCCCTCTGTAGCTGTTACTTGCCGCTCTCTTTCCCATAATGTTGGCCAACTGGCTCTAAAAGTTTTTCACGATGGTGCTTTCAAAGACCAGCTGCTGCTATTTCTCCTCCTACCCACACCCTTTTCATGACTAGAGGCTTCCTCTCCAACCAGCAACTTCATATGAGCTCTCACCAGCCGCTTGTTAACGTAAAATGTTCCACATGACATTTTTTTGCTTAGTCCAAATGCTCCTATTTCCCGCACGCTCTGAAATATCTTTAGAATTTCTTTGTTCTGGAATGCAGCTTTGCCTTGATGTCTCTTTACATGAATTCCCAGTACATAGTAGTTACTTAATAATGATACACTGGATCAAATGGAATTTTTATTTTCTTTTTATAGCCTTTTGTCTTTATTCTCCATTTTGCCAGTTTCCTCTTCACACACAAATTTCTTTTTCTTAATGACTTAAGAAAAAAGATGATTCTTTTTCCATTTGGGATACCTTTTTATCTCCGTGGAGGCCTTCCTACCTAATCTTTCAGCTTGAGCTAAGAGAATTTCCTGTGGTCATCCTTTTTAATTTCTCGCCATCAGACAACAGGCACAGAAAATTATAAACCATGCTGACCTGGCTGAGCCCTCTCTGCTTCATGAGCAAGAGCAGAGGCTGTGTTTTCCCTGCTGTTTCACAGGGCATCTGCCCTGGTGAAATCATGTCCACTTGGCAGGGGCTACTTGTAACTCATACACAGGAAAACTGGCACCAGAGTCTGCTCAATTAGTCTTAAAACCCTCTTTTGGAATTCATTAATAATTAATTTCAAATCCCACATGATCTCTTTTCCCTTAATTTTCTTATTCTCTTTATATATCTTCGTGTTCTCCAAAGTACACACTGAGCATTCTTCATGACCACAATGCATTTTTACTTCTTTCAAGTTAACCTCCTTTCCCATTCTTATAGCTTTGCCCTTGCCCTTGGTGACCCTTTCTACACCTTCTCAGATGTCTTTTCTGCACATTTGGAATTCTATCTTTCCTTTTATTACTGCTTATGTAATCTGCATGGGTCATGCCTGGTCTCTGCCTACATACAACGTTCCTATCTTCGTAATTAACCTTGATGATCTGTTTCTTACAAATGACCCCACTGGCTCCACACACAAACAGGAATTTACCCTATTCCTCTTGCTTCTTTCATTCCTTTCCCTGCTCCTTAAGTGGGCACAGATATGCTGGTTGTGTCAGCATATAAATAGCGGTTTCCAACCCAGAGTACCTGGACTCCTAGGAACTCATGAGTGGTAATGAGGTCCACAAGCTATTTTCAATATTTCCAAAAGCCTAATGGAAATTGGACTATTGCTGTTTTATGTTTTTATGCATACTCAGAGATGTATGTCTCATATTAAAAATAGGAAATATATTATTACTTAATAAACACAGTTTGTTTTTCTTAGACAGAATCTTTCCAAACATGATGCCTGGAGGGGGAAAAATAATAAAAGAGGCCATAGATGGTGAAAGTTGGGAACCATAAGTACATAATAATGTTTTCATATATTCCAGCTGCTTGTCTAGCACTCCATATTTTGCATTGACTTAAAGAGAAAAATCATGGCTTGTGCAATCAAAAGCATTTTCTTGGTCTAAACTTAATTAACATCCTCCTCAGTTTCTCCCACTGATGTTTTCTATAATCCACCTTGGATGGAATGTGCCCTGGGGTTCCGGGCTAGGCCACATCAAGTAAAAAGCCAGCTGCTTGGTGAATCTGATATTCTTAAAAACCTTTGCATTCAGATTCCTAAAATTATCCTGTGACTAGTGTTTAATAACGTCAACACCCTGGAATGGTAAAGTCGTTCTCTTGACTGTAAACATGAGTCTTTCTTGTTTGCTTGGAAAGAGTGTAGAAGCCTACAGAGCTAGGTTCAAATTCTGGCTTCACCATTTACTAACAACAAGATCCTATGGTCTCTGAATCTCATTTTTCTCATCTTTAAACATGGATATGAAAATACCCTACCTAATTCATGGAGTTTCCCAAAGCACAGATGAGTCAATCGTTTTGAAATTGTCTTGTAAATGGTCAAGCAATTGACATGCAATGGTTATGTCATTGCTATCTTTGTCATTAATATCCCATTTCTCATTACACTGTCACTCACCTCTCCCCCATGTCACAGAAAACTGCTCTGACAGTCTTCCTAGGTCTCATGAAGCTCATTGCTATCTTTGTCATTAATATCCCATTTCTCATTACACTGTCACTCACCTCTCCCCCACGTCACAGAAAACTGCTCTGACAGTCTTCCTAGGTCTCATGAAGCTGGTTGGGAGTATAACAGATCTGGAGGAACTTCTCTTCCTTAGTACACTGGCCACATCATTTCCTCCTTGAGCTATGACGTCTGCTTTTAAATCATTCACTGTTTCACTCTTCGAGTGAAACCTGGAGTCATCCCAGCTTCCTGGGCTCATTCAGCGACTTTACTAACTCCTGCAGCAGCTGTCTGCTTTTCTTTGGCTTTCGTCTCAGTGAGTCCATGTGGGACAGGGGCACATGTCCTGGGCAGTCATTTTAAGACCCAGGTTCAAGCTACAGCTTACTCTCCAGCTGTCTGGGTGAACTTGGGTGAGTCTCTCTCTGGGGCCCCTTTAATCATCTGCAACATGAGGGACTGGACAGGTTAGTTCTAAACTCCCTTTCAGTTCTAATATTCTTAAGCTCTTTTTTATATCAACAGAAAAATCTCTCCTACATACTCCCATCTCACATGTTTGGTTTTCATGGACGTGTACAACAGTGCCATCAGTCCACCCTCAAGAAAACATGCCCTTATAGACAATCATCCAGGAATCTAGAGCTTTCTCTCCTTAACGGCAAACAACCCAACTTCCTTTAACCTTTCCTTACATGATCTCTCTATCTATGCATGCGTGGACACTCGAAGTGGGGAGCCAGCAGGATACTGAGAGACCACATGGAAAGGTTGCCATTATTTGAGAGCTTGGTGCCACTTCCTTCACCTTTCCAGGACCTTCCCAAGGAAGGCCAGGACCAGGGACATATCTAAGTCCACACTCTGGCAGTGCTCTCCTCGAGCATGGCCAGGCCCTCTCCAGGGGCCCCACATCCCCAGACCCATATTTTTGCTTTGCCTCACTCCCCACCCCATGGATAATTCTGGAAAGCAGTGGAATCCTGACACTTTAAATTACTTTTGAAAACTGGATTTAGTCCAACCATTTATCTCGGTACAAGTGTATACTCTAATGTCCCTGGTTACTTTCCACACCTTGCTTGTATGTCGCACAGGTGCCAGATGGCTTCTGAGCCACCTTTATCCCTGTGATTCTCTCTCCAAATACCTAAATTCTCCACCCACACCTTACACCAGACAAAGCCGCCTCTCCCATCCCCCAGCTCCGGCTCCTCTCCTGACCCTGGAACACAAACCACTCCAGATGCAAAGCCACACGATTAATTAAAACCACCCCACGCTGATTAAAGTCTTACGCTACAGTGCCAGGCATGCTAATTAACTGAGTGAGGGAATTCAGACCACAGGAAGAGGTGAAAAGAGAAAGTCATGGGGGAATGGGGGAAGAAGGGACTTCTGCTTGGAGAACAAATCAGATGATGATGTGATCTAAGCTATCATAATGATAGATGGTCTCAGAGACCACATAAGAATGAGGTCTGTACCCCGGCTGCTGGACTGCAGGGGAGGTGTGCATTAATCTGGCTGCAATTTCAACCTCACCACTTCTAGAGATGGGAGCCTCACTACCTGTTGGAGCTCCCTGTATGTTCCTATACTGTTCTGGGGGAGAATGTGGCTCCCTGGGTGTAGGAGTTAGGGTGAGGTCGGCACATAGTTGTCTCAGCAGATAGTCCTGGCTTTCTGCAAAAACCGATTGGGCAGGATGGCAGTTCCTCAAAAACTTAAACACAGAATTACCCGATGATTCAGCAAATTCGCTTCTGGATACATACTTGAAACAACTGAAAGCAGGGTCTCAAAGAGATATTTGCACACCCATGTTCATAGCAGAATTACTCACAATAGCCAAAAAAATGGAATCAACCCAAGTTTCCATTGACAGATGAATGGATAAACAAAAGTGGTATAGCCATACAGTAAAGGAAGGAAATTCTGACACATGCTACATCATGAATGAACCTTGAGGACATGCTAAATGAAATAAACCAGACATAAAAGAATAAATACTATATGATTCCACTTATATTAGGTACCTAAAGTAGTCAAATTCATAGAGACAGAAAGCAGAATGGTGGTTGCCAGGGGCTGGCTGGAGGGAGAGAGGAATAAAGAATTATTGTTCGAGGAGCAGACTTTCAGTTTGGGAAGATGAAAAAGTTCTGGAGATGGACGATGGTGAAGGTTGCACTACAGTGTGAATGGACTTAATG